AATCTGAGGGTGCAAAAAAATCAAAATACTGAGAAAATCGCCTTTAAAATTGTCCAAATAAAGTTCTTAGCAATTCATATTATTAATCAAAAATTACGTTTTGATATATTTATGATAGGAAATTTACAAAATATCATCATGGAACATGATCTTTACTTCATATCCTAATGATTTTTGGCAAAAAAGAAAAATCTATATCAGATCACACTCTCTCTCCCAATAGTCTTAGAGTCTTTGCACACAGTCTGAAATTTTCACACGTTAAAAAAAATAAACGACCCCACGTTGTGTCAATCACGTTTACACACTGTCTTTGAAACTTTTGTCTGTCATAAAATTCGGATCAGATTTTCTGAGTTTTCGCATCCGTAGCAAGCATTTTGATAGGAAAGTGTGACAAATATGAAAAAAAAAAAAAAAAAAATACAGGAAGGGGGCAAAAACCTTTTCACGGCACTGTATGCATGTGTGTGTGCGTGCGTGCGTACATATGTACGTATACATACATATATATATATATTTTATACACACTGAACAAAATTATAAACGTAACACTTTTGATATAAATAAATGAATAAATGTACTTTTTGTTTTGCAATTAATTTTCATGGCATTCAAGCACACGTCCCCTTTCAAATGCTTAAAAAAAAAATAATTACAATTAGCATAAGTTAATTAAATCTTGTCTGGAAAATTACATTTTTAAATCAAATAAATTCATTTTTAAAAGTAAATTTAGCACTATAAATAAAAGAACAAACTTTGACTTAAAAAAAAAATTAAATTAGCATTATTTAAATCCAGTACAACTAATAACAATTATATTAAAAATATTTTATTACAGTTAGCATTAATTACTTCAAGTACAACACATACAATGTACACTGTGGCAGGTGTCATTATATGTCACAATGCCAAATCTTTAAATCTCTTTTCCGTCCTAAAAATAGGCTTCTTTATGAAATGTAGCCAAATTTTGGGCTGAAATATGACCTGGATATTTCATTGAGATCCACCCATGAACAGGCGTAAAGTGCTGTACAGATGTCGTACCCCACAGCTGGGCTGCAAACTTACCCCTCTCTCACATCAAAACACATTTTTTAAGCTTGATGCATTGTGTCGTCTTTTCTTCTTTACTGAGTTTTCTCAGCCTGTATTGCCTGATCTCCCGTACCAGAGTATAAAAGGCATCTTCCACTCTCTGCAGTGCAAAACACAACTCCCTTCAGTGTTAAAGAACGCACAGCGATCATCACTGAGAAGGGAAAACAGTCCGAATTGGATTTTGGGAAACAAGCGGCAAGTTTTCCCCACATAGTGTTGGCACAATTAATATTAGCGTTTTCTTTTGATTATTCCTGGGAATTTAGAATGAATTTGGCGTAATCAAGTTTTTACATCAACTTTCCACAAAAAAAAAAAAAAAGCCAGGTTATTCCATGGGATGTCATTTTTTTGCAGCATCTTCACACTTGGAAAACATTTTAAGAGCTTCTCAATTAGTAATGTCCCTGAACATACATATACATATAAATACATATATAATAAACAAAGATAAGAGAATTAGAAAGTGAATCTGCTATTAGAGGAATACACACAAAACCATTTCAGCCTGCAGCCAGAGAGGGAATTGTGGGTACTGAAGACTGTGGTGTCGGTGGGTAGCATGTGAGGCTCGAAACAGAGAGAAAAGAAATTAATTCAGGAGCTTTTATTACACCCCAGCACCACAAGGAGTTGTGATTTGAGCACTGCAGAGGGAGATAGAGCGTTTGCCCTGATATTTAACATGACAGATAGAGCAGTACAATATCCCCAACTGATTTATAGTGATTAAACCCCTGAACAATCAATCCAAATAGCATTCTTTGCCATTAAGAGATTAATTAATGAAATCAAACACAGACAAATTATAATGAACGCACAAGAGAGACCAGGCACAAACCCAGAGGCAGATCAGTTGTGTTGTGTGATATGACCTGATTGATTATTCATAAAGCCCGTCAGAATGAACTCATGCATAAACCCAGTGTAAAGCAAAAGGACGCACTGACCAGCTTTCCTACAATTCTACACATTTCAACTGCCTTCAGCTGATGTGTGAATGTCACAAAAACTATGTCTAAGTCACAATTACCCCCTAGAAAAATAATCAAATAAAACACATATTTATGCAATGAGACTTTTAAAAAAAAAGTAATAAATAAAAATAGCAATAAGGGAGTGTAACAATACACTGTTCAATAGACGATATTGATCTCATGATACAATACTTTCACAATACTTTAAATAAAGCATAACTAGAGCAGTTAAAACATTTACCTTGTTATTATTACTTCTAAAGACATATTATAAACAGTTCACAAAAAGTACGGTTTATTAAAATGCTACATTTTGGCTTTACATCAGGGGTGGACTTGAATAGATTAGACTTGGTTCTGGTCCCCAGTGCACAGGGCGATAGTGACACCAGAATAGAAATATTTATAATTCTGCTTAACTGAAAACACAGAATTATGTAAGACACATATTCTTGGGCTCTGTCCCCTATTACATACATTTAAATAGTTTGAAATATTGTATTATTTAAAAATTCAAATTTTGTTTTAATTTATTAATAAACAATATGGAAGCTCAAATGTGTGAGCTTCTGGGTTTACTATATTTAAGTTGCCATATTTAATTAAATTTGCTAAACTTTCAATTTGGGTGAACTATACAGATCGTCATTATCCATGACACATATTGTTGCATTTTTGTATTGCGACATCTAGTGACAATTTGTTACACTCCTAATAGTGGTACTTTTTAAGCAGCAGAATTTTTTTTTTATTAAATAAAATAAAAATATTGCAATAAACTAAATTAATAACAATACATTTCTATAATAATAAATAATAATAATTTCTACTTTATTTTGATTTTGGGGTGAAATGTGACCCAGACATGTTCTTGAAATGTTTTACAACTGACCCTTAATGGCTGTATATCTAATCTGGTTATAGTCAACTTTTATTACAGATTTTAAATAATATTTAACCCCATAACGCATTAACATGACACTAAAGACAACATGAAATGGTATTCACAACTCATTTAACTTCCATAATGATGCATTTCGGAGCAAAATTATATTGTGGGGCAGAAAAAATTGGGGTGATTTTATGAATCAGAATTTGATTGAACCCTAAAGTTATACCGTGATATTATAGACTCGTTTTAATTGTGGCATTATGGTGTGTTCACACCAGACACGAATGTAATTATTCGCGTGAGTAGATTACATACAAAGTCAACGCAAAGACGCGAATAGAGGCGAATTCGCGCGGGGCGACACGAATGACGCAAAATGCGCGACGCATTTGCCGCGAACGCACGATATTCGCCTCAATCGCGTCTTCCGCGCAAGTTCAAAAATTTCAACTCGAGCGGAAAATTCGTGTGACGCGTTCTCGCGCAAGCCAATCAGCGAAGAGCTTCTTGACACGTCCGGTTGAATCAGACAATGGAAGAGAACGTTATTGTAGCCGTCTGTTATTTTATAGATCTGGAGCACAGAAAATAATTAAAATCAGTTGTAGTGGTAGTTGTATTTTATTATCATTGCTACAGAGATGCTGCTATCAATAATAAAAATAATAGTAATATCAGTGTATATATACACAGTAGTAAAATGTAACGCACACATTAATGCAGGATCCTAACTTTATTCATCCTCCTCTGGATGGTGCTGTGAACCCAGACACGTCGGCGTTTGACTTTCCATCGTATTTGGGACTTTTTGACAACAGGTACAAAACAGCGATTGTAGTTATCTCCACCATAGTTGATCGCGCTATGTTTTTATTCACGCGAGTGACACGGAAAACATCCCGCGAGTAATCTAGAGCGAGTGACGCGATGCGCATATTTGCTTGGCGTCAGATGTGAACACACCATTAGTTGTGTCAGCGTTAATGTAGTTTCAGAAGTGGATAAATGTTTATGGAAAACAAATGTATTTTTAATAATGATGAACAGTGCACAATAAGACCAATGATATTTTATTTTAAAATAGTTGATTTTGATTTCATGTTGTCTTTAAATCAGTCAAAATAAAAGTCTTTCAATGTGAAAACTTTTATTTTCATTGATATGTCAAACACGCTTGTATCAAAGACTATAGAATACCCAAGACGTGTCACTCATATAGTTTTGAATGGGGAAAAATGCAACGCTCAATATGGCTGCTCAATCGCAGGAAGCCCCGCCTTCTGAATGAAAGAGCCAATCGGTAAAGTCAGCGCGTCACTGCAGCTGCCGTTAGAAGTCCCGGTTGCTATAGAAACAATCAGCGTTCTGAGACGTGCTCTTAGGACTGCGCATGCGCACTGGCTGATCTAGCCTGAAAAATAAGCTTTTTATAACGCTATTTGAGCAAAAGTAACAACATTTATGACACAGTTGTTGTCAGATTTCTTTGGTGATTTCAAATATGAAATTGAATCGTAAGCTTCGTGTTTTTTGTAATTTGATGTTTCCCCATTCAAAGAGATAGGAGTTGCACTTGCATGCCCGAGAGGCGTTTCAAAGATGGCCGCCGAGTGACATGACTTTAATTAAAAGGACTTTGCTTGTATTCAGTACTCGACTGCCCATGTTTTCCATACCTGTCTCGTCTTTGCTGAGGTCTCTATAAATGGGATGCCGTAGCTACGTGCTAAATCCTGAGCCTGCTTTGTGTCCACACTGCGGGAAGGAAGATCACACTTATTCCCAACCAGGACCATGGGGACGTCCTCAGAGTCCTTTACTCGCTTTATCTGCTCTCTGTCAAAGCACACAGAACATTGCACATCTATAATTAATTTGACTTTGTGAGGTGTTTTAACCCTTTACAAACCTGATTCTGCAGGTTATGTGACTGCACACCATGTGGTGTATACCTGTAGTGGTGAATGTCCTCAAAAGACTTGGTGTTATTGATGGCAAAGACACAGAGGAAGCCCTCTCCTGTCCTCATGTACTGATCCCTCATGGCGCTGTACTCCTCCTGACCTGCAGTGTCCAAGATGTCCAGGAGACACGTCTCCCCGTCAATCACCACCTGCTTTCTGTAGGAGTCCTGCACAAGTGAAAAGATATTTTGAGCATATTGATCAGTATATAAATCCCAAACTGTACTGGTTCTGTAATATCAATTTATCACAATACCCAAGCCTAAAATATCCCAAAAATGATATTAAAAACCTGACATTTGCAAAATGACAAATTGTACTAAATAGGCAAAAATTGTATCGGAGTTTTAAAGTGCTCATTTAGGTGTAGATTAAGTCTAGCAAAATGGTGTGAAAGTCAACATTAAATTAAAATTAGAACGATTATTTTCAGCATTTTCATGCATGCTCTTGGTCTTAATTCATCAGCGCTGTAATCTTGTCAAAACTACAAAACATCTACAAACACCTAAAAAAAACAACTAAAATACAAAACAACATGTAAAAAACAACTACAAAACATCTAAAAACTATAACATCTAAAAACATCAAACAAACAAAAACAAACATCTACACTACAAAACCACAAAACAAGCATCTAAAACTACAAAAGAAAACTACACCCATCTAAAAACGTTAAACAAACAACAAAACACCTAAAAATAACTTCAAAAACAATTACAAAACATCTAATAAAAAAATTGCAAAAACTACACACCAAACAACTACACTTTTTAGCCAATTTTTGGCCGCCCAAAACACACACACACACGTTAAGCACCAAAGAAAAAGCAAACAAACAAAAACATAGGCCTATTTGACATTATGCAAATTTGCAATCTAAACTTAGAAGGGTGCCAAGCCAGAAAAGTGAAAGGCAAGAGACACAATGGCCTTCAACATGGAATCCACCTTTTAAACCAGAATAACCGGATCTCGCCGTTGAATCTTTAACAGTAGATTTTTTGCATATTGCAGAAAGTGAGTGTCCTGACAGCACTAGAGACAGAGGTACACATGCCTCACCTCTATGGTTGGGTCGTATTCATCCACAAAGTGGTTCTGGATGAGTTGGATGGTGAGAGCGCTCTTGCCCACGCCTCCAGCCCCCACGACCACAAGCTTATATTCTGTCATTCTTCACCTGCAATAGAAAAAAATCAATGAGCAGTTAAAGACTTTTTCTGCTTCAGCTTTAATGTACTTACCAGACTTCAAATAATTGTCAATTGACTTATGCTATTATCCAAAGCGACTTCCAGTTCACTAATTACAGGTTAAGTCCGCTGGAGTAACCTAGGGTTAGATTAACTATGTTGCTCAAGAGCAAAACAGTGATAGTTCAATAATAAAGCCTTTTGCGGTTTGAACTTACAACTTTTCAGCTACCAGCCCAGATGTTTAACCATTACACCACAGCACCCTACAATTAGGAAACATTGCGAAGGTTTGCGTTACATTGACATTACTTAAAATGCCAGGTCTACTGGACTGACCCAAAATAACTGCATATAAAACATTAAACACTCTTCTCAACTTCTATCTTACTATTAAAACTATTTATAACCAACTAATCCACTTTAAATATATTTACAGAAATAGTCATTATGGAACTGAATCAGCTGATCCACAAAAGAATACTACTGCTTGAAATTACACGGTTATAAATAAGATTATATATAACTTTTTGTTGTCATCTTAAATTACAAGCCTATATCCTTATTCATTCAACCTTATGGTTATGCTGTAATAGATTTTCTTCAAATTATCTTCACTACAACTAAAAAGTCTAATTAAATAAACTGATTCCATGCATAACAGATGATAGAATACCATGATTTAACGTTATGAGTTTATGTATTATCTTACAAGATGCTACTATATAACTTCCCCTTGTGTATAATCATTATAGATCGATTTTCGTTACAATAACTCAACAAAACCGATTAATCTACAGAAATCAATCAATTCAATAAGTGATACACTAGCAGAATAAAATAATTTAACAATTTTAAGTTGCGTATCTAAAGGCTAGTCCTCTGTAAGGACTTTTTATTTTTACTTTTCTTTATCATAATTTAAAATCAATTAACTAAAAGACTCAGACTAGAACATAATACTACGATTCGACATGTTTTTACTGTGTTTTCAGTGACTACCATTCTTAAAGTATTTTATGTACCTTTTTGAGGTTAAATGATTTACGTATGATATAATAAAGTGTGATTTAGATTTTAACTCGAGTTAAAATAAGTTAATCGTTAAAAAGTATAGTTGAGCGCCATTGCATCGCAGGGCCCTAACTCACTTGGGCGTGCGATGACACTAACACACTGGAACAAAATATACAAATACAAAAGCTCACATATAACCAATTCTTAGCTTTATCTTTATTTGACTGTTAGTGACTATAAATACACACGTTAAAACAGCTTTTCTATTATTTTTACCTCTGGGTTTGTTGTAAGTTCCGCGTCTGAAAAGCCTCTAATGACTCAAGCGTTTATCATGACCTTGCCATAACGTTATTATCCTTTTAAACAGCGTATATAAAGCCGCATATATCCGTTGACAATCCCGTCAGAGTGTTTAAATGGTTTTTCTAACCGAAAACCGACCATTTTATACGGAATAGAGATGAATTTTGTCTTTCTAGGCTACATGGCCTGCGCTCGGAGGCTGTGCTTTTCATAAATATGGGCGGACACACTGTTGCGTCCTGCTACATGATCACTTACCCCAAAATATCAACGATTTTCAGCTGTTTACGATTATTTTCAGTAGGTGGAGGAGGTTAAAAGGACGAGTAATACGCAGTCGAACAGCCCCTTCCGAGCATCAGCATGCATCTTGCATTATAATAGAAGAAACATCTGTAGGCGCAAACAATCCCGATCGGTGTCCTTTCAATGAGATGTGCTTGATCAATAACTGACCGATAATCAACACTGGTAATTCCAGGCTAAATATGGTTATACGACGGATAATAAATGCACTTTAGTTTACAGTGTAGTAGCACACAAGAATATGCTATGACATATTCGATACTGGGTAAAGACCGGTTTTTGACAAGCGCTGAGGGCAGTATTGGTATAGACTGGCTTGTTGCTTAAATAGGCCCTAAATATAACCGGAACGTGTACGTGCGCACGTAATCGCGTATGTGGAATCTTATTGGCTGTTTCACCTGTCAGTCAGAATTAAGGGTTTTGCATACGGTGTGCAAGGGCCAATCGTCTACGGTTATCGACAGAATAATACAATTTAATTACGCTGGTTGCCAGCCGCCGTTAAAAGCCAAGAAGAAGAAGAAGAAGAATACAAATTACTCGACCTAGATGTTTATTGTTTGGCTTGACACTTTACTTTACACGTTTTTTTCTTTGCCTTTTAATGTAAATATAGTTAACAGATACACATAATTGTGAAACAAAGCACACAAAGTTAAAAAAAAAAAAGTTTTTAGTGCTTTTTCTTTCATAAAAACGGTCAAGAGCGAAAATATTGGTATTTGCATTAGTGTATTTACAGTTTGTGAAGAGATGTTTTAGTTTTTATCATAATTAAAATGATCATTTATATGGTAACCAAAAATAATATGAATAACAGGCAAAGAAAATTCACTAAAACATTATGAACAATGAAGACATTATTACCATGGGTGCAAGCTTGAATTCCAGAAATATTTTACTACGAAAAATCCTAAATTATTGCATAAATTATGCTTGAAATTCACTCTACACAAACCTTGCGGTAAGTTTAACATTTGAGTTCACTTTTAATTATTATTTATATATTTTTATTATAACGGAAGTAATAAAAGTTGAAAAAACAAAGTGGATGATTTACTTTAGACTTTAGTACAGTCTATTATTTGATCTAAACATGTGTTACACATATACATAAACATATGTTCAATAATTTGAATTTTGGAATAATAATAATTTATATTTTGATTTTACAATATGCAATAAAAACAAAAAACGCAAAAGACACAAGGGGTCAGTATTTCCATGGTTTTGCAAGTCAGACTTTATTTAAATAATGACGTCAAACCGTTTTGCTGTATTCAAATGTATTTGTTTTTTTTATGTGTGGTAATTCAAAACTGTAAGCATCATTACTCTGTTGTAAACCATTGTTCAAACCGCTTATGAAACTCTTTGATAGCGTTGATTGTCACGTGGTGTGTATTACATATTACTTTTCTCAGCGCTGGCAGGATGACCAAATCAAAACCTTTTGTTAAATAAATAAATAAAATAGAGATTGTTGGGGCTATTTATATTTCAGTTAGAAATCCTTTTTAAATTATTCATTAATCATCGAAATTATTTAAATGACACCTCTTTTTGTATTAAAAAAACGTCCAGAGATTAACGCAGCTCAATGGAGGAGCCGTCAAGCGCCCTCTTGAGGAAGAAAACTGAATTCACAGAAGTCCCGCCTCCTGCGACGAGATGGGCCAATAGGAGCCTCTCAAAGCGGTCTCGGATTGGACAGTTTAGAGGCACTTCACAAGCTTTACCAATAATAGTACACAATGATGAGGGCGGGACTTGACAGAATGCAGCGAGTAAGATCAGATGGTCGTATTTTCCACATTTTTAGCTGAGAGGGACTGACTGCAGCACAGCGTGAAAACTTTTTCCTGTGGGGCGGTGATCCCTACGGATGAAGTCCGCTTATTTTCTCAGACTTTTGCGCTGTAAAAAACACAAAATATAAGAGCAGTTCGTTTATATTTAGCAAACGGAGCTGTATAGTAAGTCTTAACACAGAAAAAAACCCTGAATGTTACAGCGTCCTTTTAATTTATTGCACAAACTTTGGTCGGGACAAAAAGTGGATAAATGTTTTCCTACATTTAGTCATAAAGGTAAGAATGTACAGATTTTGCACGCGGAAAAAATGTAATACTTCATAAATGCAACCTAAAAACAGCTGCTATATGTTCATACGCATTCAGCATCACAATCTGAAATATTTAGTTGCATGAATCAACTTTAATTCATTAAAACAGCATGTTTTTAGTATTCTGTAACGTTATACAGACCATCACATCCATTGACATCAACACAAAATGTGAGTTTATTAATCAAATTCAAAGCAAACTATGAGATTTGCTTTTAGCACTGTGGGAAAACGCATGCAATAACAGCTAACAGCTAAAAAAAAATTACAATTAACAGCTAAAAGTCGTTTTTCACTGCTACTTTTTTGTTCTCCTCTATATGTGGACGCAATGAATCGTTAACCATACCTACATAAAGTTGGTAGATTAGTGTTTAGATTAGAGAATTTGTAAATTCTCTCAAAGATTGTTTGCCTTTTTATTTTTATTCAATTATTGATATTTGAAGGATCAGTCTGCTTAACAACATCAGTGTTTGACAATTTAAACATGTCTATTTGATCCAATATATGCGGTTACTACCAAACCCAGTTATTATGTAGCTATTAAAACATTTAATGCACTTTTAATTTGTATAAATAATTAGTATGTCATGTAGAATCCATGTTGTCATGCAATGCAATAGAAAGTTGGCCTCGATGGTTCTAACAAAGATTGGTTATTCTTTTATCATATCATGTAGGCTATTTACTGCAAAATAATCATTTAATCCAACAAAGTGTCTTTAGTGCGTTTTTGTATTGCCACTAAAGTATGCAAATGCTTCACAGTGGGAATGCCTAACTACTTTATTGAAAGTGATAAGATGAGAGATTAATAATAAACCACTTAGTCACATTGACACTTCATCCAGTACCCTCGTATCTCAGTTTTTGGCTGGTCCTGCAAAGCTAGCCTGCTGATCACAACCATGGCAAAAGAACAAAGGCAGTATTTTATCCAGCTAAACGTGCCATCCAGATGTTAGCGATTCTGCCAGTCCACGTCCTAGCCGTGGGTGAGGAGGTGGGTTTTGGGGGGCCAACGTTTATTCTCAAGTTTATTAAAGCACCTCAGCTGAGACTTGAGACTCAACAAACTGAGATTTACAAGAGTGAAGGCGGCTCTTGCTGGTCCGTAGTTAAATACCACTGTAGGTAGACTGTTCTTGCCATCTAACGTCCTTAGAGAAGGACTTTGTTTAAAACCTGGCATGGTTTTATTCCCTTCATAGTTTTGAGGAAAGCTGTTTTTTCCCGTTACCTTCCATGAAAGCTCCTCATTGTTTTTTACTCTTACAGGCTAAATGTGCCAAACTATGTGAAAGAATCAAGCGTAGCAAAGTACATTTTAGGACACCCAAGGGATTTAGGAGCAAGATTTGGAGATTTCAGTGTGAATTCACTTTCTTTCTTCTAAAACCTCAGGTTATTGTTTTACTGGGGTGGGGAAAGAAGGTTTGTTTTCCTTCCTCCGTCGTCCCAGATGGGAGATTTGGTGAGGACACAGTTCTCCTCCGTGTTTGGCAGATGGGAGGTCTTTCGTGGTTCAGTTTGAATTGTGTAGTGGTGTTGTTTGTTTGATTTGCACCTTAATGTTCCCTAGGGAAGGAACAAGATTCAAAACACAAGGTTTAAATATATATTCCAATACTGCCGTAGCTCATATAAGAGAATACCAGGAAAAAACAGTTCTTCTAAATCAAAATCAAAACCTGTCATGGTATAAATAACATTTCTTAGCCATATAACTCATGGATGATGGCTACAAATGAAAGTCTTTGATTAGAGAAAGCGCGAGGGGGGCTCGAAACGTCTTATCTCCTTCAGCGTTCAGTGCCCAGCTGCGTGGAATGTGTAACCTCAATGTTATCAGTTTCCATGGTGTAAAATCAAGGCCCAAGTCTTTGGATAACCACCTGCATGCCTTCAAGCCTCAACAATGCCTTAGTCACTAGCTAATCTTTTCAGTAACTTCACTATACAGTGGACTCAAAAAATCGTTTCCTCACCCTGACACCGTTCCAAACCTGTATGACTTTCATTTGTCTGTGGAGCATAAAAGAAGATAATTTGAAGAATGTTTCAGCTGTTTTTGTCCATATTATGAAAGTCAGTAGGACCCTAATCTTCCAAGCTCCAATAAGGATCAAATGGTAGCATGAAACTAATCCAGATGACTATTTTATATGTTTTTGAAGCAACACAGTCACATTCTGTGAAGAACAGATCAAAATTTAGGTCTTTATTCACTCTCGAATCAAAACATTGATCAACCTCATACCTCAGCCTCCCATTTGGTCACGTGACGTGAGGTTTGTCAATAGATTTCGATCTGTTCATCATAAAAAATAATTGCGTCACTGTCAAGTCTGGATTAATTTGACACTACTTTTATACCCTTTGTGGACCTCGAAAGTATCTATCTATCTATCTGTGTTTCTTGGAGTGTTTTTACTCTTGGAACGGTTTCAGCCGAGGCCTGCAACTAATTATGGGAGAGTGCATAAATTGCTAGTAATTACATGTAGCATGGCAGCTAGTGCAAGCTCAACAGAATAAAAGGTTAATCCAAAATAGCTCAGCAATAGTAACGGCACACCATCTTTCCTCGAGAAATTAGCTCATTCTCTTTGGTTTTGGATAGACTTCGAAACTTGTATCATTTGTTTTTAATTTGATCCTTTCCTTACAGACTTTAGGGTTTAGCCTCTGCCAAAAGCTCACTTGATTCTTAATAACCAAATGTAAGTTTTGTTAGACATATGCTATGTTAACTTCCCATTTGGGGGATATTTTTTTTTCTATATTTGCTTTAATGCAGTTTTTGAATCAGCCAAATCTTGAGTTTTTCCTGAAGAACATGTGAGTGCCCGTACAAAACCCTCATCTAGAAATGCCATCCAAAGACAAAGTTTAACTTCAGGTTAGCGGTTTGTTCAACATTAAGTTTGAGCAATAATACGTTTTGTTTGTCTTAGCAATCACCACAAATTATTCTCTTGGTCACGGACAAAGCATAAGGAAGATGTGTTTGCCAAATGTTTTTAATGAGCAGATTGAAATGAAATATGTTGTTTATATTTACACATAAAGTTGGACAAGGAGTACAGTGAAATTGGCGGGAAAACATTGGATATCTTACTTCATTGATTCCTGAGGGAAAATTCAGATGCCTGAATCAGAAGTATGAGCAATGGTAAGAGGATATTACTCA